CTAGAACCGGTTCCCTTCTTTAGTAATAGCTGCGGTGCTATCACAATGAATCAACTACCGGAGGGATCGGTCTTTCCCATAAGGGAATCTCTAGTATTGACCCTCTCAATCAACTTTCCTCCTTACTAGCCATTGCTAGTTCTATCATTTCCGATTTCTTAGTTGATTGAGCCAGGATCGTTTACTTCTTAGACTTCCAAGACATAGCTTCTCTATCGATGTTTAAAACACATCCTCTTGTTGTCTTGGAGTCCTCTATAGGGTATTCTAATCCGCATCACTATACCCTACTAATACAGCAAAACCTTTGATAACAAATACCAAGGTTTTTTCCTGTTCTTTTAAGGTGTCTCATGACCCCTTTCAATAGCATTTCAATGCTTCATACTAGGACAATCAGTAAGCCTGCCAAGTACCCCCCACTAAATCTGGTCTCATGTTTATCAGTTGCCTCTCGCTGACTGTAGATGCTAGTATATTCTAACTTCCTTACACCGTCTTAAGTGTTCTTTAAATATTTATACGAGCATCATAAAACATGTATGCAGGTGTACATCCTGTATTTTCCTAGTTATTAGGATCTCTAAGCATAACATTTGTTTCATTCAGATCCTTCACATTCAACATTCTCAACCATCATGGTTTTTCAATATTGACATCACGAGTCTTTGTACCAAAGATCGACGTGTCATTCATAATGAAAGTGTCATTCTCAAATTTGTACCAAATGCACTTGTCACTTTCACTTTTAAAACCATGAGAGAACCAGTTTATTCATGCCATCGTCTTAGAGTCTATTTCAAATCTTACGATGATTTGTCTAACTATAGACTCCCTAAGCATGTTCAGGAATAACAACCCTATAGGTTGTCCCATGTAGATTTTCCTATCTAAATCACCATTCACAGAAACATGTTTAACGATCCATCTGACACACAACACTAGCAATCAGAACATACTTGGATGTTATTCCACATATGGTGAATAGATAACAAGAAAATTTACAATTTTTCCTTTTCGCTTGAAGCCTTAGCTATTAGGCGATCCTTATACTCATAAACTAAACCAATAGGTTTCACTTTTCTTTTAAGAATCCGTTTATTACCCATGACTTCATTGCCAACAGGTAATTCTCAAAGATGCCAAATCTTGTTCGATTCTATCGATATATTACCCAAGGCTTTTCAACCAAAGAGGTAACTCTACAAGATTTTAAGTCTTATTAGACTCCAATAATTCCATTTCGTTAATAATGGATTCTCCCACAATTCTGCATCTTTATGGAAGTTCGAACTTCTAGCAGACTTGTAGGATCTTTCTTTCTTAGGGTGTAAATAACAAATTCATAACCAAAATCCTTTCGTGATTTATGGTTCATTTGTTTCTTCTGAGTTTAAACTCAGATTTATTACCCCCACTAGTTCCATTATTTCTAATAGTAGGCAGGACACTACCCGCACTATTTCTTGATTAAAAATGGAAGTTTCTTGGCATTAACGGATTTCACAACAACATGAGTATTTAGTTTCATAGGAACTATGTGTTTTTATTGTTAACAACATAAAACACACTCATATGCTCTTCTAGTTATCATGCTACACTGATTTTCTAACGCTACCACATGCATGCCACATATCGAATAATCAGTGCAATCATAATGCAATTAGACATTTCAAACCATTTCAAATAACTAGTCAGACAATCAGAGCACTCTAAAGAGCAATAAATTGTTTATTGTCTTTTCCATCAAGTTTACCCACATAAATCAGATCTATTTATTCTGATTCTCTAATCACATATTATGGGTCATTTAGCTTGGATATAGAAAATTCATATTTTTCTCAAGCATCCAATAATAATATGGGAATGCGATATAAGATATTATAATTCTTCACACAGACACACTTGGAAGAATTTATCTTATCTACTTAACCATTCCTTACATCTAGGATGGTCAATGACTTTCTAGAGGCAGGGTTCTCTTCCACTTTTCCAGAACCATCAACAATAGTGGTGAAGGTCTTGCCCAACAACACTTTCTCCTTCAATACGCCTCAATGCATGATTGAGCTACTTTATCATATGCATGCCTTGAGGCGTCAATATCCAACCACCATTCTTCATAATTGCCATTAAGGCCTATCACCCCATTAGTGATTATTACCACTGATCCTCTTATTTAGTCAAGTTAACACTAGGTTAAACTTGTTCTTACACTTTCGTGTCTTATGACCTAGTTTCTCATAAATTGAACAGAGAAACATAGCGTCATTCTTAGAGGATTGAGTGGCAATCTTATGGTCACCACAAAGGGTACCATTCTATTTGGTATAGATCTGGTTCGGCTTGCTGCTCTCATTCTTGAAACTTTAATGTTTCAGAGCAGCCTAAGTGGTTCGTGTAGTACTAATAATAGTACTTCTTACAATACCGTAATTATGACAATAAACCCATTCTATTCCCATATATTCTTCAATGTACAGATTTAGACAAAAACATTTTTTCCATAGCATGTATTCAATTTATGCTCTAATCATCGAGATACGTAATATATCTCAATGTCAACTTATCATGCATCAATTCAAGCTTTCATTATAGCATTCATAATGATTCTCAATTTCATGCATAAAGATATGCAATGGACTCTAATTTTTTCTATTCATTTATTCATTACTGATTCACGAGAAAAGTGTTGGGTTGTTACCTCTTTTTGAGACATGGTTGCCTTCTGCAACGAATAGCTAGGCATTACGCGTAGCTCTCTTGATTCTCGTCCTACTTCTCTCTATTTTAAATTTCCACCATAGCACACCATGGTAGTCCTCCTCATTTCAGATTCTAGCACCACTACTGATGTGATTACAACCAAGCGGCTTTCTATGCCCTTTCTCACGCATCACGATTAGCCAAGTAATATCCATGTCAAAAGGAAGAGAAAGAAATTGGCGTCAGTTGGTGCAAATAGATATCATGGTGATAATTACAATTGGAACGATGTTAATCACAAGCATTGTTTATCATCAAGATCACTTCCCTGCTGATAAACGACATCAAGGTTCCTGCAGGACATCTAGCCGATATTGCATTACGACTTGTAGGACCTTGCAATTCCAGCTTCTCCCGACGCACGGATCAAAACTGGATCTTGGACCACCAATTAGTTTATTATTGAGAGAACTTGTGAGGCCACACGTCGATGCGAGCGACGAATCTGCTCCAGCTCAGCCACAGAATTATATCCTTCAATTAACCCTGTCCTTCGAGTCCTTCCCAGAGAACAAAATGCCCTTCCAAAACCGCATTGATTAATCATGCTCCCTTGTCCAGGTAATTAAACCTTGTCCCGTCCACGTATTCAAAATTCCAATGGGTTCCTTTTAGTGTTTACTTTAATTCCTGTTTCAAGGAATCTCAAAAAACACAAAACAATATAACAGGAACAATCAATTGTACAGGAGCAGTTAATTAACTTGCCCGAGATAGAATTCAGGGCACAGAATTTAAGGAACAATTAATTGGACAATCGCTTCCCTTTTTGGCTGTTGGGTCTCGTGCGAAGAGAAAAAGGAGTAGCCATTGCTCGTCGAAGGAAATAATGGTGGCGATGATGGCCGGTTGCTGCTCGACTACTGCGCTGGCGAGGTCGGGATGGGGGTGCAACGTCGGCACTGCTACTCTCGGGTTTGCTGGCTAGACGAGGAAGAGAGGGACGAGGGACAGCTGGGGGACTGTTTCCTTTGGTCGAGCGGAGCTAGGGTTGAGATTTGTTCAAGCCAGAATCGACGTTCTGTTCGATAGACATGACAGTGACACAACGTCTTAAAATTGTTAGAAATCGAACAGGAAAATTAGGGTTACCGATCTGGCTGAGTCGCGGACTAGGTCGCTCTCTTTAAGACGTTCGCGGCACAGCCTCGTTATTCGCACAGCAAACTATCAGCCGGTCGCCTCCAGGATAAAACAGCCACTCTTTTGATTTGCTCAGCGGTTTTGTGCGGAAAACCGAAGCTCTTTGAATCTCACTCTCTCTCGTGTTTCTGCTCTCTGAGGTGTGTTTAGAGGGTCTAGGGGTCTGCTATTTATAGGAGCAGAAAACCTAGAATATTCCCTCTTTCTTTGGGAATAAGCCACATTTTAATTAGGAAGATAATTACTTCCATAATTAAAATATATTATATTATATTAAGATAATTAATCCTAATTATCTCCATAATATTCTTTTTATTAATTATCCTTTCTATTTTCGTATCTAGAAAGAATACGGGATAATTAATTCAATATAGCTTTCAAAGCTATTCATTCCCAACAATTTGTAACCAGAGTAGAAATGTAGAATGGAAATAGGTGAGGAAGGGGGACTTTGGGATCATCTGCATGGTGGAAGACATGAGAGGAAATTAGTTTCTTTTTTATTTTGGGTTTATATTTTAAAATTTCCTCCCACAAAGAATTAAGCTTAATCTAGTCATTTTAGGTAGGTTTAACAGTGGTTAACAGAAACTTATTGGAAAACATACCTGAAGGCATGTTTGAGAAAATAATTATAGTATAGGGGCAAACATGATGTGAAAAATAGTAAAAGAGAAAGTTTGAGAAAATACAATAGTAAAGGACAGTTTATACTATTAAACCTACAAAATACTATTAACCCTTTAATTTAATGAGAAATTTTTTCCATAATCCTCAAATAGGCCCAACAATTAAAGGGCTCGTTTTATGCAATAGAGTAGTTGAAGTGCTCCTTGAGGAAGAATGCAAAAGTTTAAGGGATAACTGCGGGATAATTTTTGGAATTGACAATTTGCTACGTAGAGAAGTAAATAAAGGTTCTTTTGACAAATGCTCGAGGTCTCAGTTTGTGAGGGTTCTCTCTTAACATTTTTGCGAAAGGCATTGCATAGCAGAGTGCAGGAATCGAAGTCCTTTGAATTCAAGGAAGCGACGAGAGGAGAGAAATAATGGCGCCCAAGATCTCGCTAAATCCCAACGACAGCAGGAAAATGGGTGCCAATGGCACAATAGAGAAATCGACTGTTGAGTGCTTGAAAGTGGAGCATTTGGATCTTGGAGAAGTCCGAAGTCATCGCTCACTACGGCTTCATTCCCCTGATCATCGTTATTGGCATGAACTTCGAGCCGAAGCCCCCCCAGCTCTACCAGCTACTCAGCCCTATATGATTCAGATCCCCCTTCAATCCATACATTTAGCTAGTTCACTTCCCTATCTGTCGAATCTACACCGTGTGCTTAAGTTAGAATTGGGCAGAGATAGTAGTATGTGATACCCGTTATAATATTATGCAATCATGATGCTAATTCTTAAGTTTGTTTGAATTTGATTCAGATACTTGTGGGGGGATGTTCTATTTCTACTCTCTGTAACTCATCTTGCAATCCACAGAGCTCAAAACCCAAAACCCATTTGCTTATATTTGAACTCTCTTGTATTAGTTCACAGTCAACAATTTGAGGGTAAATGCTTCTTTTGTGGAATTATTATGACAATGTATTGTGATTTAGATGACAAACCCGTCTACTCGGTTGCTACATTTGAGCTTGCCTTGGAGCTCAAAGGGATAGGCATGTCGTATTTTATTTAGGCATCGAGGTAGAGGCATGTCCGCTTTTCTGTGCTGGCATCAGTAGGATTATGAAGGAATGGTGGTTAAGCCAAACTCAGTCGAGTAGGTAGACTTATAAGTGTGGTAGCATGAAAGGTCTTTCTGATTGAACTTGTTTTATTCAAGCAGGGGAGAGAAGGTGAATCTGGTAGGCGGTAGCCAAGTAGGATATCAAAATTAAGGATAATATGCACGATAGGGAGATTCCTATCATGGAAAGTTTGCATATGGCTTGTTGGAAGAGTCGAAAGGCATATGACTCTGGATTTGAACAGTTTCCAACAAGTCATAAAGCATCAGAGGGTGCAGTGGGGTGAGAGCTTCTGACTGTATGGTATTCCATGAAGGAGAAGAAGAATCTGTGTTTGTTTCTTGTCTTCGGCTCCTCGAATCTTGTTGGATTTTTAAGAGGCTATGATGAGATGTGTAGAAAGAGTTATCGTCCTAGGATGTGCATGGCATTATGGCAAGAGCAAATCTTGATGATGCAAGGTTTTCTAGGCTGAAGCTGTGCAGAGATGGAATAGCCCAGACATTTTCAAGAAGTTTGATAGACGTTTATCTAAAACATATTTCTTTTTCACGATGAAATTGGTGATGTCATTTGCTAATCATTTTTCCATAACCATTAAATAAGAATACTATAATGACGATCACGATTGTAGATAAGTGATAACGTCGTATTTGCACATGTTTGCACCCTCGTTTCTTCATCATTTTGGCTAGAGTTTTTGATTTCTTGGACTATTTTATGCTAGTTTGTGTGTTCCTTTGTCACATTTCAGGTCCTAGCATGTAAATTGGAGCAAAGGCGCAAATTTCAAGTCAATCGGAATTCATTTGGCAATTCAGGAGAAGAAACACGAGCATGACCTGAGGAATAATGGATTTCTACCTCATTTTATGAACAAGTAATCATGGAAGTTTGTTATGAAAAGAAAGAGGACGAGACTACTAGCGTCTGGGTTCAAACGGCAACTTATTCGGAGTCCGGACGAGGGAGAAACGAAGCATTAAACAGGAGAGGAGGAAGAATTACGGGCAGCCCCTGCCCAATTACGGGCGTAATTGCTTATGTCATGCCCGTAAATGCAATGTCGAGCCTAAATCCCTGAGAATTCCTGTCGCAGAGCAAATTACGGGCAAGAGTGGACTCATTTACGGTCGTAATTACTTAAATACTGGCAGTAATTGGGTAATTACGACCGTAATTACCTTCCTCAGAGTTTAGTGAAACGCGCGTTTTGGGTGAATTACGGGCAAACCATGATTACGACCGTAATTCAGCTCGTATTTCACCCAGAATCGGGTTTTTGAGGCAGATTCGAGCCAAAGGAGAGGGAGTCGACTTTTTGGAGCAAAAACAGAGTTTTAGAGAGAGAAAGTGCGAAGAACAAACCCTAGGAGCTATTTGGAGTGGATTTCTCACCATTGAAGCCCAGATTGCATCCCTAGGAGTGAAGATCATCATCCCGGAGCAGATTATTGACACGCCAAAACACAACACCAAACTGCGATCAAGTGTAATCGCAGTCCGGGAATGCAGTAACAGGCAAGTTCTATTATCAACTCGGGGTCTAGATCTACTGCTTACTCCGTGATGATCTATTATCTAGCCAACTAAGTCGAGTGATTTGTGTTTAAACTAAAAGCAGTAAGAAAGCAGGAAATTATTCGGTTTTCTCAAGCATATAAGAGTCACTCGGGAATGAGTCCCCCTAGCCCCTTAGTTAGGTTCAATTGTAATTTCCCTGGGTTGATTTACTGTTGATTAGACTGCGGAAGATCCGACAGTAGCTTGGAATCTCTTAAGCTGACCAAGCCCTCTCATTCTAACTACCCGGCAGACGACTAGTCTTCACCGGGATAGAAAGCTGAAGCAATAAGCACAGAACTCCACTACTGGAATTGAATTCCGGTACAAAGCAGTAAACGGGCTAACTCTCGTATAACCAATCTCCTACTATCGAATGAAGAGGCTCTAACAACCTAATCAGTATCTATCTATCTCAGGTTGCAACAGAAATCAAGAAAAGCTGATCAGACTTCAATCAATTCAATAAACATGCATCATTCGATTAAAATCAAACAGTATAATCATCCCAAGTCATTACAATCAAATCCCTAACACCAGGAACTAGGGTTCTTCATACCCAAGTGAGAGAAGGGTTCTACTCCATAGAGAGAGAAGAGAAAACAAGAATCGGATTAGTCATACTCATAACGATGAGGATAATCTGCTCCGGGACGATGATTTCCACTCCTATGACGATCTCCAAGCTCGATTCGATGAAATCCAGCTCTAAGACAGCTTCTAGGGTGTGTTCTTCGTACTTTCTCTCTCTAGGGCTCTGTTTTTGCTCTGAAAACACGACTCTCTCACTTTTGGCTCGGAATAGGCTCTAAAACCAGGCTTTCCCGACTCGCACGGCCAGGGTGCACGGCCGTGCATATCACCATTCTGGCCGTGCAACTCAAAACGCAGCGTGTCATTTAGTTCGACCTCAGGCTCCTCGCACGGCCAGGGTGCACGGCCGTGCGATCTTCAGGGGTTGCCCGTGCGTGGCAGTAATTGGGTAATTACGCAGGATATGTTCTAAGATAGCTTCTAGGATATGTTCTTCGTACTTTCTCTCTCTAGGGCTCTGTTTTTGCTCTCAAAATCCGATTCTCCCCTTTTTGGCTCTAAATTGGCTGAAAAACCAAGATTTCCCGACTCACACGGGCAGGCCACACGGCCATGTGGCTCACTCAGTTGACCGTGCGAGTCGAAACGCAGCATATCATTAAGTTGGCCTTCAGCCATCCCACACGGCCAGGGTCGCACGACCGTGTGGATTTCCTGGGATGCCCGTGTTTGCTCTCGGCAAAAATCACAAGGCCACAGGTGCAACTTGCACGGCCGTGTGATACCCAGGGCTGCCCGTGTGGCTTCCTTAGAACCTCGCCATGCGTCCGATCTTCGTCCAATCGACCCCAAACTCACTCCCAAGCCTCCATTCACGTACTAGGACCTGAAACATCACAAACAAGCACAACCTAGCGTGAAATCGGCCTAAAACACGAGAATCAACACCTCAAACGGTGTAAGAACAGGGGTAAAAACATGTGTAATTAACGGTCTATCAAACTCCCCCACACTTAACCGTTTGCTTGTCCCCAAGCAAACCAAGTCAGACACAAGGTAAGCTTATATTATTCAATCAACCAACATTGGTTACAAGTCATAAAGGAACAAAACACGTGAATCGTACTGGTTTTCAAACATCAATACATGAACAACCTCAATAACAACCTGGACAACCACCACAAAGGACATTCGAGTGCAGCAAATCGGGTAAAGGAAGAGTCTCCCTTCTGTTCACCAACCAACCTAGACTTGAATCAACCACTCACTCAAAACAGTCAACTCATGCATCCAACTCAAGACATCAGAACAGAGATCGAGCAATCTAGGTCCTCACCGGGGTACAAGAGTATAAAGAATATGAAAATGAATCACTCACTCTCGACCAGTGGGGTCAGGACGATTTGATGCGAAAAATGCGCATGCTATTTCTCTCAATCCCTATCATCTCTTCACCATGATGGCAGCCTCTAAATGCTAGAGTTCACATATGGAGTGTCACCACTAACTAATCTGGAGGTCTTAGACATAGGTTCAAATGACTGGCTAGGGTCTTGGACATGGGGAAAAGGCCTTTTAGGTGGTGGAAGCATTCATAACACAAGGTTCCACATTTCCAAACCCACACAATCACAGTCAAACAAACCGGTATTTCCTTTCTACTATTATGCAATACTCAATATCTCAAGAGCACAAGAGCGAAGGAGGTATAAACATCAGCACTTCCAAGCCAAACTGCTCAGAAACACTACTTACTGGGCATTATTCAGATTTTTGGTAGTGGCTCTCTTTTGCTTTCAATTTTTTTTCTTTGTTTTTCTTTCATTTTCTTTCCATTTCTTAAGAGAGCCACCACTTCTGCACATAATTCAAACACCTGCCCAACTTTTAAGCACTACCTCCAACACTCACATCAACTTTAGCAGAAACAGCAGAGAATATGTAAAAATCACTCTGTGGAACCTTCTAAAAGATGCAAAAGGGTGATTTTTTCATTAGAGACCAAAAGAAAGGATAACACACGGCTCAAAGGGGCTGACTAGGGGATATGACACATCAGGACAGTCAACTTTGGTCGTGGGCTAATCCTATGCCCCCATCATCTTAGCTAGTGACAACGTGAATGCTACACATCATGGAAGAGGGATCTATCGCACAAGAAAGAAACGAGCAGGCTCAAATCTCACATGGCTACCTATATGCTCTATCTCACATTCTAATTCCCTAAACTAGATGCATAAACGACTGTCAAGAACAAGTGATTAAATCAAGTCACAGTTGGTACGCAAACAGTTGAAAAACTGAACCCCTACATAGTTCTACTGCACATCTCAGTCCTCATCATAGGTTGTCCTAGCCACAATCAAGCTGTCATGCGTCAATCCGAAAACCATTCAATTCATCAATCAAAGCGCAGTGCCCATATGATCAAACAACAGTACTTGGAGCCCTCAAATCGTAAGATTCGGACAGCGGACTAGGCTTCAAGCACACAAATATATATTCCAACCGATACAAAGCACCCCCCCACACT